CTGTGTACTATTTATGATTGGCATAGTTCACTGTAGGTAGGTTATACCACCCTGATCTAACCACCACACATTCTACACAATTATTGAAAATCATCGTTGCACCGCACATGTATGTATAATAAAAAATAAAGAAAGAAATAAAGAAAAAAAAAGAAAGAAAAGAAGTGAATAAACAAATGAACAGAGGGCTCCCTGGTGCTGCCTGTTCTACAACCCAAGGAAAAAAATGGTGTGGGGAGGGGCCGTTCTCAGGGTCTTGCAAACTTCGATGATTCCCACCGCCTCTTCTGCGGTAACTCTGCCTGTCAGGGTCTCATCCACACAAGCTATGCATGTTCAACATTTGGAACCTGTGGGACCCACTCAGTATAAAGATCATTTTAAAGTGAAAACATTTGAGCTACAGAAGATGCAGAAAGAAACCTAACCCGAATTTCTCTTATCTGACTAAAGCAGAGCCTCCCTAAAACACAGGTGCTGAGGCAGTTTCTGGCGGATTGTTCGTCTTCAGAGACAAACTGGCCATTCCCATCAGCATCAACAAGCCCAATAGAACCTTTCCTACTTTCCCACTGAGGCCCTAAACTCCTCCCCTTTTGTTAAGTTTGGTATATAAACCTTGATCTCTGGTTATTTTGTGAGTTGCTCAGCAACTCACATGCACTTGTAAATAAAAACTTAGGTTTTCCTCCTGTTAATCTTTCTTTTCTCAGTTGATTTGCACGCCCTCAAGTACTGGACCCATCTTGGAAGTGGAAAAAGGTTTTCCTCCCAACAAATCCAGAACAACTTTGCTGTGGCTTTTGGAGCTAGGATAACAGCTCGGTGGTCTAGCAGATCTAATTTTGTATTTCAAGGACATTTCACCAAATTAACTCTTCTAGCAGGTCCTTAGGAGGTCAGTGCTCTAGGCTTTACTCGATACCCTTGTCCAGAGTCCAATTCATCCCCACTACATGCCCTAGTTTTGAGATAGGGAGACCCCCACTTTCATAGCATATGCAACTCAACTCGCTTCTGTGAAACTGCTTGCTGTGTGACAAGATAGATTAATTAAGTTTAAGTGGTGTTTGAATTGCTTAAGAAATGCTGTTGTTTAAAAATCCCCCTTGGCTCTTTAGCCCCGCCTTGATAGAAGTTAAAAGCTAAATATTAGCCTGCACTTAGAGAAGTTTGAATTTTGTTTAATGCTCCCCACCCAAGCTGCCCCTGAGCGATTAACAGGCTTGTTTCAGCTTCTGTTATCAGCTTGCGCTAGGCCTCCCCTCCCTCCTCACACTAGGAGGGAGTGTGTGATTAACTACATGATAACTTTAACTGTGTGACTAATGTAAAAATGTACTTTTTAAAAATCCCTCTAAACTTCAATTCAGGGCTGCTTCCTTCTGAGACTTTTTTTTGGAGGAACAGTCAGCGGCCAGCCAATAAATCCCCCCTTTTAAGTTCTCAAGTGGGTGTTCTGGCTCCTTTTCCATCAGGCGGCCTCACAACAGTTTCATGCGGGTGCGGTGGGGAGGGGATTCTAAATACCCTGATGGGAGAGCCAGACCTCGATGGTGCTGATGACAACTCCCTCCTTCTAGTTATTAAGGCTGAAAACTCTGTAGTTATTACTTCTCTTTCTTTGACATCTCACATCAATCTGGAAGGAAGTCATGTTCTAATTTCAAAATATATCCAGAATCAGACCACTTCTCACCACCTTCTCTGCTACCCCCATGGTCATAGCCACCCCCATGTCTCCCCTGGACTACGGCGAAAGCCTCCTGGCTCACCGTTTCTACCCTATTCTCAATACAGCTGCCAAAGCGATCCTTCTAAAACCTAAATTAGGCTCCATCACTCCTCTGCTCAAAACTCCCCAGGGTTGACTCCCACCTCACTCCAAGTACAAGTGCCCAGGGCCGTTTATCGCCTGCCACCCATCATTCTATCCCCCCTGGCCCCCAGCTCGTCCTCCTCATGTGGCTCCAGCCTTGCTGGCTTTTTGGTGTTCCTTGAACTTGCTCCTGCCTTAGGCCTCTGGACCTTTCTCTAACAGTTCCCACTGCCTGGACCACTCTTCCCCAGGTATCAACTGGGTTAACTTTCTCACCACCTTCAAGTCATTGCTCAAATCTCACCATGCTATTTCACACTGCAACCTGCACCACAACCACCCTCCACACCAGCAGTCATGACTCCTCTTCCCTGTCTTTTTTCTGTAGTACTCATCCTTATATAATTTGCTTACTTATTTTTTTTTTTTTTATATCCAAAATGTGTTTATTGGGAGGGTTTTCCACTCATCTTGATTCAGGGTGCTTTTAGTGCTGCTTCCTCCTGAAGGAACACCCTTCTGTAAGCCTTGCTTTTCCTCCTGTAGGCTGGCAGAGGACAGTGGAGCAGCCAACGCACAAAACTACCATTTGTGCATGGCTAAAGACCGTGGTGATTTTATAGCATCCTGGGCATTTCACATCCATGAAATAGGAATTGGGACTCTGCACCAGGCGCTTCTTCTTGTGTTTCCTCTTCTCCTCTTCTGGAGAGGGATGGAGGAGATCCTTTGCGAGAGGCATGTTCTCGTGGGTAGGTCTTCACCGCCGGAAAGGCTAATTTGCTTACTTATTATGCTTATTGTTTGCCACCTCTCTTCACTAGGAAGTTAGTTCTATGAGGGCAGGGATCTGTTTAACTCATTGATGTATTCCAAGTGCCCAGAACAGTATCTGGCATACGTGCTCCATATATGTTTATTAAATTAATAAAACTAGCCTCCTATGCTCATTCAGGGTGAGAGCTGAGTTTGGCTGGAAAAAAAAATGGTCTAGAAACTTTCTGGATAAGATTATTATGGCCCCTAGGGCCAATAATCATCAGCTCAGGCTTGGAAATTTTCCCAGATATAGAGGAAGACTGCCCAGATAAAATTCAGCAAACCTAGGGAAGCTTTCAGCTAGACTCCCTTCCCAGGGGTTCCTTATTTCTTCATCAGCAAGCAGGACAGAACGGGGCTGTTGATCATTAAAAAAAAAAAAAAGGAAACAAAAGACGGGACTCCCTTTTTTTCTTTTCCGGTTGGGGTGAAAAAGGCACCTTGGATACCTCTGTCTGCAGATTAAGCTGCTGGAATGAGGAAGCCCCTCTCCCAGCTGGGGTGGGGCTGGGAGAAGTAGGGAGGTGGCCGAAAGGAGCTGCACTCTTGCTGGGTTTCTCCTCCATCTTCTGTAGGGGGAAGCCTCACATAGCATCATGGCTACTAGACAAGGTCAATCAGAATTCAGGTCACTGCTGTGGCCCCAGCCTCCTTTCCGCACCTGAGAACTCCAGGTGGAAGTCCGTTCTCCCATTTTATAAAGTGAAGAGCTGAGGTTGAGTAGAGAATGGAAGGGGCTCAGCCTTACAGATTAATGGTGGCATTGAAACTGGGGCCCAAGTGCTGGATTGTGTCCTATATGGACCGCCTTCGGTCTTTTCTGGGAGAGTCTTCCCCCCTCCCGCCCCACCCCCCACCCCCCCATGCTCTGAGACTATCCCCTCTTCCTTCCTGGCAGCGAAGCCCTTTATTTCAATACAGGATAAAGTGTGTGACCAGAAGACAGTGTCACACACCCAGTGCAGGACCCCAGGCTGCAGGGCCAAGAGGACCTTGGAGCTCTTGTTAACTGAGGCACAGAGAGGGCAAATAACTTGTCTAAGATCACAGAGCTCCTGCACCATCATTAAGGACAGAACTGGAAACAGAACCTGAAACTTTTTTTTTTTAAAGATGACCAGTAAGGGGATCTTAACCCTTGACTTGGTGGTGTCAGCACCACACTCACCCAAGTGAGCTAACTGGCCATCCCTATACAGGGATCCGAACCTGTGGCCTTGGTGTTATCAACACTACACTCTCCCAAGTGAGCCACGGGCCGGCCCGAACCTGAAACTTCTGATTCAGTTTTAAAGTTCCTTCCAGCCCTGAGATTTTGTGATTCCATGATGTTGATCCAGAATGTTTCCTACACCCTAGAGCTGCTTTCATCATAAAGCTCTTGCCCTGAAATTCCCAAAGTTCTTTGGCCATTGGCTGTGGCCATAACAGCTCATGTCCTTGATTCCTTGAGGGATAAGATTCTTCTCTAGGGCATTTGGAAATGTATTCTATAGCTTCACTCTCCTTTTCATGACTGAATCCCCAAGCATCCCTATACTTCCCCTTCTCTAGGAGGTCCTGTGCCTCAGATGAGCACATTTACCCTTTCCCTTCTCCCAGCTAGTCCCTTCCCCCAGCTAGTCCCTTCCCCATGTTAGGACCTCCAGCCTGGCCAGGAGACATGGTTCTGGCTTTGACTCAGATGCAGAATTACAGGACATTGAATATGGAAGGATGTTAGAAACGAATCCTGCCCCACATAGGAGGCCTTCCCTTCTCTCTAATGTTTGAGCATTAAAGTGGGTGTCAGGGCTCTCATTTATTGAACACCTAAGACATATATATTTTTGATGAGCACCATCTATGTAGCAAGCACTTTGTAAGAGCTTTACTATCTCATGTAATTCTTACAACAGCCTAGTGAGGTAGGCATTATGCCCATTTTACAGAACAGGAAGTTGAGGTTCAGAGAGCATCTCTAATTTGCCCTAGATTATGGAGCTAATAAAGTCTAGGATTAGGAATAAAACCCAGGTCTATCTGATTCAAAGCCCAAGCTCCACGCACAGGAGTTTGGGTGGTGTGGGGGTAGTGGTGGGGGTGAAACACCATCTCCCATGGTCTTCCCAGCTGCAGAACTGTGGGGGTGAATATCATGGTGGAAATGATTTCATATCTTCAAATTAAATTCAGAGAGGAGAGGCCACTAGGCAAGGGGGGCAGGAGGGCTGGCTTGCTGACAGCCCTGACCTGCCAGCTCTCAGCCTGTGTATTTGTGATCACCTGGCTGCATCCTGGAAACCATCCAGTCACACCTAGGCAGGAGGCCCAGCCCTCCTCCCTGGTTTGAGGAAGCAGGAAAAGGTGCCAGCAAGAGGCAGCAGGCAGGTCTGCCTGGGAGCTGTGGCTGGCACCCCGGCTAGAATGGGTTCTCTCTGGGGCCTGGGTCTGCCCCTCTTCTTCTGCTGCTGGGAGGCTGGGGTCTCTGGGAGCTCTGCAGGTAAGGAGACGAAAGGGGCCAGGGGCTTCTGCCCTGGCAGGGGTCTAGGTGTGAGTTTCAATATGAGCAGCGCTTTGTGGGTGAGGGTAGGTAGGCTCTCTTGGGTTAGTTATAATTAACCATCAGGCTATGTGAAGTATTATTGTTGATAAGGAGTATGCTAATGGCAGTGTGTGTCAGCTGAAGTGTGTATGACACTGCAGCACATACGAATGAACAACGATGATGTCCTTGTAAGGGTCGCTTCCTGTGAGTTTGTTTTTATGCCTGTGGGAGTGTGAGTGGGAGAGGTGGGGTGGGGGAGGGGTGTTGGAGAGAAGCCAGCTGTTGATAATTCTGCCTAAAGCTGAAGAATGTGGCTTAACAAGATTCTGACCTCCAAGTTTATTTCTTAGCATGGATTTCCTTCAAAACAGAGGTTTGTGTGAAACATCTGTCACAAACTTCTTGGGAAGGGTAGATTCTGAGAGAGGCAGGGCTTTTATGAAAGGGGGAAGCTAATACTGATCTGTCATTAATATAAAACTGCTTTAGAGCAGTTTTAAGTTTACAGCAGAATTGAGTGGAGAGTACAGAGAGTTCTCATAAATCTCTTGTGCCTGCCACATGCAACCTCCCCCACTGTCAATGTCCCCCACCAGAGTGAGACATTTGTAGAATAACCTGCAATGGCACATTATTATCATGCATTATCTTTTTAATCCTCACAATAACCCTATGAGATACATACTATTCTTACCACCCCACCAACACCCCTTTAAAGGAGAACAGACCCGAGTGATTGATCCACAGAGCCAGGATTTGATCCCACACCTGCCTAACCTCTGGACTGCACTGCCTCCCATATGTGCTCAGAGTCTACCAGGCTTGTGTTGAATATTTAATTTAATTTAACCCTCACAACTCCTGAAATAGGTACCCCTAGCTCCATTTTACGGAGAAAATGTAGGCTTGGAGCTGGAAGACTTGGCCAGGATCCAGGTTTAGTAAGCAGCAGAGCAAGCAGCAGAGGGGGACTCAAACCCGGGGTCCAAAGTTTACATGATTTCCAGTTTGATTTGAGAAAGGTACGGGAGAGCTGCAATAGTCTAGAGCTGTAGAGGGGGTGGAGTGGGCTTTGCTCTGTCTGAGAAGAGCTGGTAAGAGACGGGGGTTGTGAGAGCCCTGGAGATGAAGAGGCTGTGAATTTGAGGAGCATGAGGGGATTTCACAGCAGAAATGACACCACGGGGCTCCTGAAAAAGCAAGAAAATCCATCAGGGGAGGTAGTGGTTAGATTCCAAGTGTGCGCCAGCGTTTGGGCTTTAGGCTTTGTGGACCGAGGCAGAAATGCTCTGCTTCTGCTGTGTGGGGACCAAAAAGGCATGGAGAAATAGTTAAGTCTTTGAAGTGGGGAGAAGAAAGTGTGTCTGCAGGCAAACTAGCAGTTCCTGTACAAGCGTGACTTGTGTGTACAGCAGGGCTGCACTGAATGAATAATGAGAGCGTGTGCCCATGACTCACTTGATGTGCATGTGGGGGAAGGCTGAAGACTCTCCCTGTATTAAATAGGTTGGGTGCTTTCAAGTGACATCTTGACAGCACATCACGAGGAAGAAACGTTTCCTAACCCCTTGCAGACTTTGAAATATAAAAGCTTTCTCATTCATCTTCTCTTTTGGTCTGCAACACATTGGCAGGGCAGGTATTGTGACCCTGTTTTCCCAGGTGAGGACACAGAGGCTGGGAGAAGCCCACAACCTAGCTAGCAAGAGGCAGAGTCAGGCTTTGAAGCAGCAGATTATCTGACCCCAGAGCTAGTGGGTGGCAGTTCTGGGGCTGCAACCTAGTCTCTTGACTACTGCTCCATCATTAGGTGAGGTCCACAGGAGGACAAGTAGAGGACCTGGGGCCCTGGCCTGACACCCTGGATAGAGGTCCTAGATCTCTTTCAGGTCAGGTCCTTGGGTTACTTTTGGGCCAGTGGATCTTGGTAAAGACCATCTAAAACAATCAGAACGCCAAAAAAGGGGGTTTGTATTTCAATCCTCTTCCTTCCAAGAATAGGGTTACCAGATAAAAACAGGGCATCATTTAAATTTTAATTTCAGGTAATCAATTTTTTTTAGCGTAAGTATGTCTAAAATATTGCATGACATATATTCATACTAAAAAATTATTTGTATTTTATCTGAAATGCAAATTCAAATTTAACTGGGTATTCTGTATTTTATTTGCTAAATCTGGCAACCCTTCCCAAGAGGTCCCATGGCTCACTCACAGAGAGAGCCCTCTCCCTCTGTAGACAGAAGAGGAACCTTTGTCAGGCCATGAGAGATCCTGCTGTAGTCTCCCCTGGACTATGAGTGCAGGCTGGCTGTCCACTCATACAATCTCGGGGCCAGTGACATTTCTGTAGGGCCTCCAAGGTTGTATGAATAAGGGAGGATCCAGCCCTGTAGTTGTCAGGCCCACATTCAGGAGAGGCTTGGGCAGGGGTGAGAAGTTCTCTCCTTCTCTTGCTGGGGCCCCAAGGACTCTGCCTGCTTCCCTTGCTTTTGCAGCAGCACCCCAGACACTGTCTCTGGAGGTTCCTCTTCCCCATTCCTCCCAGCCCCCTCTAAAGACAAAACTGCAGGTCTTTCATGTATTTTAAGGGTTTTTATTTCCATGGAGAAACATTTGTTGGATGAGAAAAGCATCCATAGAAAAGTGACAAGGATTCTTTCAAAAGTCCTGAGAGTTCTGGTCCCTGCTCTACACTTGTGGGCTCACTTGGACTTCTGCTTTCTTTGGTCACCTTTGTAGATGGGGCTGGCCCCATCCATTTCTTCTAATGGCTGCAGACCAATAATCAGCTAGAATCTTGGCTCTTGCTGGCCTCAGCTAGGGTGCTAGGGCTTGCTGGTCCTTAGGGCTTCAGAGGACACCAATCAGGGCAACCCCAGCTTCGTGGCTGCCATATGAGACTGGGTTTCCCAGTACTGCCTCCTGCCTTGTTTATATAGACGAAAAATGGTGTAACAGTAACTCCTCCTTCCTACCCTCCTCCCAGTAGTGCCCAGGGTATAAACGCAAGAGCTTGTGTGAAGTCGGTCCATTGGGACTTACGACTCACAAAGTCGGTCTTATTCGACACAGGCCCCAGCACCAGCAGACCAGAGCTTTTGGTGACAACAAACAACATAGAAGTGACTGCTGTGTCTCCAGAGGTCAGGACAAGCTCAGAGGGAGCCTTCCAGACCAATGACCTCACTGAGACCTCAGCACCTGGCCATGTCACTTTGGAAACTCAAACCCTGAGGATCTTAACCCCAGCTGGCACCATTCGAGAAGCAGATACCAGGGAAACCAAGACTATTTCTCTTGCCACAGAGACAATGACTCTCAAAAAAACAATACCTTCCAAGTTCATGGTTATGATCAGCTCTCCTACGGAGACATCAGCCCCAAGTGGCAGTCCCTCAGAGACTAGGATGACCACAGTTGAGTCTGTAACAGGCAGTAAATTTGCTGAAACTATCTTTGACACCCTCTGTACTGATGACAGCTCCGAAGAGGCAAGGAGGATCACAATTGATGTCTTGACACTGGCTGACACCGCTGCGCAAACTGAGGGCCTGTCCTCAGAGAGCAGCGCCTCTTCTGACAACTCACTTCCAGCCATCACCACCTCACAAGTCCTGGCACCTGACGTCATTACTCCAGCCAAAGCCTTGGTTGTCTCCAGCATCACCCACATCGAGGTTACCAATTGCAGCATTACAGAAATGGAAACAACTGCCACTATCCCTGGGGTCTCAGTCACAGATCACAGCCTCACAGAAGGAGGGAAGGCCTTGTCCACCTCTGAGACATCAGCTTTGCCTGCCTCCACTGAAGCAAAATCACACATTCTCGAGACCACAACCTCTGCTGGCACCTTGTCAACAACCAGCACCGCAGAGCCAGCCACACCTGATACCACAGCTGAGACCCCACTCCCCACCAATAGCACCACAGAAAGAGAAACAACAGCAGCCAAAGCCACTACCCCCAATGGAGCTTTGGTGACAGTTAGCATGAACACCTCAGAAGGAACCTCAGCCCTCTCTGTTGAGACACCAAGCCACACTGAAGTTTCAAGAGCAGTTACAGTCTCCACAGAGGCTGGGTCAACAGCAGGCAAAGCAATTTCATCTGCTGGGTCCTCAGCTTTCGTCTACAGCTCCTCAGAAATAGCCACCATCAAGAAATCCACCCCTTCAGAGACTCCTACCACAGACAGTGCAACCCATGGGCACTTCCCCATCAGCAAGAGCCCTCTTCCTTCTGTCCATCTGACTACAGACAACAGCAGCCAAGAAACAAACATCACCTTAGCCAAGATCACAACTTCAGCCAAGACCCCAGTGAAGCCTCCAGCAGCCACACCCACCACTGCTCAGACAAGGCAGACCACAAAAGTTACTGCAGGTTAGTGGCTCCCCATGTGTGATCTTTGGGGATTGGGGATTTGGAATCTCCAGGATGTCTACACACTTAAGGAGTAAGCAAGAAGGAAGGATCTGGGGTCCTATCCTGAGCCCTCTCTTTGACATTGTCTCTTCATGATCTTCTAGTGGATATCGCCAAAATCAGTAATAAGTAGAGTTAGGGTGGTTTGTGGAAAGAGTGTGGGGCTGGAAATCTAGAAAAATGGTTTGAGATCTTGACTCTGCCCTTAACAACCTGAGAGTCCTTAGACAAGACCCTGTCCCTCTCTAGGCCTTAGTTTCTCCAACTGTAGTTGGAAGGGGTTGCATTGGATGAGCACTGAAGTCCTTTCCAGCTTTAACTTTCTCTGAAGTTAACTGTTGAGTAACTACTGTGCATCAGACAAGACCCCACATTTTATTTAAAAGATGTGACCCCTGGGCTTTGGAAGCCTCTGGTCCAGCCATAGCTGCACAGGGGGGCAGCATGTGGGCACCTGGGCTGAGCTGCTTCTTGGAGAGCAGCTGGAACCCTGTGAAAGTAGGACTGGCTGGATGCACTTGCTGGGATTTGCACCAGAGATAGTGACTTTAAGTAAAAGAATAAGTAAACAAATAAATAAATAGGACAAAAGTTTGCAAGTTTAAAGCTACATCTCTGAGACACCAGGTGCTTCTCAGGGATGAAGTCCATTGTCTGAGGGTGCTTGGTCAGCCCAGCTCCTGATGAGCTGTAGCCTCCACCTGCACTTCCCGTCAGTCGTCCTTGTCCCTCATCCCTGAGGATCCTCAGCTTGCTCTGCCTTTCTGGAGAGGTGAAATGAATATACTAATCACAACCAATTTATTGAATGTCTTTTGTAGTCTAGGCAGGGGTGATATAAAAATATTTCACAGCCGTAAGTGTTGGCACTAGCTGAATGTTCTCTCTGGTGTCAGGCAGTGTAGGATGAGCTTTGCATATGTTATCTCCTCTAATTGTACCTTCAAAACAACCTCGTGTGGTGGGTGTCATTACCCCATTGGACAGGCGAGGAAACAGATTTAAAGAGAGTAAATTGTCCTAGAAAGATGGCAGTGGGATTCAAATGAAAGTCTGTTTGATTCCAAAACTCATAGTCTACCATTGTACTTTTATTTATTTATTTATTTATTTAACTTTTTCAAAAGATGACTGGTAAGGGGATCTTAACCCTTGGCTTGGTGTTGTCAGCACCACGCTCAGCCAGTGAGCAAACCGGCCATCCCTATATGGGATCCGAACCCGTGGCCTTAGTGTTATCAGCACCGCACTCTACCGAGTGAGCCACGGGCCGGCCCAGTACTTTTATTTTTTAAAGCTCAATTTGTTAATAATTTTTATTTTAAAATACATTTCTTTATTATTTGTCGATTAGATGACACAGTCACATGATTTAAAATTCAAAAAGTGCAAAAGGTATAAATGTCTTTCTCTCACTGCTGTCCTCCAACTATAAAATTCTCCTCACACACGTAACCCATGAGATGGTTTCTTGTATATCATCTTCTGGACATGAAATATGCACATGGAAGCAAATATACATATTTTGTATATGTATCTTTCATCTTCCTTTTTTTATGCAGGTAGAACATCTTGGTGAATTCAGATCTCTGAGATAAAGCTATTCTTTTGGGGGGAAGGAAAAGGTTTTATTTACTTCATATTTTAATTTCTTATTTGTGACCTCATATTTTGTATCTTTGACTGATTTTATTGCTTTAGTGTTTTTTAAAAAATGTATTGTTAGGGCCGGCCTGTGGCTCACTTGGGAGAGCGTGGTGCTGACAACACCAAGTCAAGGGTTAAGATCCCCTTACCAGTCATCTTTTAAAAAATAAAAAATAAAATAAAATAAAATAATAATGTATTGTGGTAAGAACACTAAACATGAGATCTACCCTCTTAACAGATTTTAAATTGTACAACACGGTATTGTTATATACAGGCACAATGTCATGCAGCAGATTTCCAAAATTTATTCATCTTACATAACTGAAGTTTTATCCCCATTGATTAGCCACTCCTTGTTTTCCACTCCTTCCAGAAAGCTATGCTTTTTATGGCTGCTTAGGGATCCATTTCATTTTACCATCATCTATTTTTTTTTTTTTAAAAGATGACCGGTAAGGGGATCTTAACCCTTGACTTGGTGTTCTCAGCACCACGCTCAGCCAGTGAGCTAACCGGCCATCCCTATGTGGGATCCGAACCCGGGGCCTTGGTGTTATCAGCACCGCACTCTCCCGAGTGAGCCACGGGCCGGCCCATACCATCATCTATTTAACCAGTCCTTTATGGATGGACATTTAAGTTGTTTCCAGTATTTTGTTATGACAAACAGTGCTGCAGAAAGTGGCACATTTATCACATGTGTGTTATTTTCTGTCGGATAAATTCCTAGAAGTGTAATTGCTAGATCGATTCTAATAGTATTGTGATAGGAAGCAATGCCTACAAGATGGCAGGTAAAGGCAAGCAGATTACGGCTCAACAGAAGACAGAACTTTCTTGCAGAGCTGCTAAACCAGAAGGCTGGAATAGAAGACCTCCTCAGCCCTCCACCAAGTTAAATTGGGTAGAACTGGTTGGGGGATGGCCCCCAGAGAGCTAGCCTCTCTCTGGACTCTCCCTGGCTGGGCCCTTTCACAACAGCCCCATCCAGGACTTCCAGGCATTGAGAATATTCTAGGTTCACTTCCATTTCTTCTTCTTCACATTACCCTTTAGACATCTCTAAATGTGGGTGGTGCCTTATGCCATCATTTCTTTTACTCTTTTTGGGAGGACACTACAATAGTTATCCCAGAGAGAGAATCCTCTTTTCTCTTTGCAGTGAGTAAATGCAAGATCCTATGTGAACACAGACACATTTACACATGAGAGTGCTCACATATATGTGGAGGGGGCAGAGGCTGGGTAACATGAAGCATGTCTTGATTCCTAAACTGACGATTATTTTCATCTTCCTACTGATCTCAACTTGCAGATGAGGAAGAAGGCTTCCTCCTCCTGCGGCTGAGTGTGGCCTCCCCAATAGACCTCACTGAGCCCAGAGTGGCAGAGAGGCTGATGCAGCAGGTGAGTGGGTACTTTTGGGTCCAGCAGAGTAGAGGAAAGTGAGAGGTTCTCAGAGACTGCAGGGACGACCTGCAGGATACAGAAGAGCAGCTACTACTCTTGGGAGGGGTCTTATTTCTTACAGAGAGTATTAGGAGCAGAATCTAAGGATCCCTGTCTGGCTTTGTTTCTGCCTGGCATCATGCCCCTTCTTTGCAATGTATACAAATTATTCCCCTCATCCCCAGTTTCCTCAGGTCTCAGAAAGTCAGGCCTTCAGCCCCTGAGGAGAAGGTCAATGATACTGATAGGCAGGAAGGCAGGACTCTTGGTTGCAAGTGGCAGAAACCCAAGTCATAGTAGCTTACAGAGAAAAGACAAGGTATTGACTGAGAAACCTAGACGTTTTAGTTATGTCTGCATCCAGCAGCTCAAATATGATCATGAGGATTTTCTTTCTCTCTCTCGGCTCTGTTTCCTTCATTCTTCAGAGTCTTTCTCCATATGTACAGAAAAGTGGTTGTGACAGCCCTAGATTCACAAGGCACTTCCCTCTCCCCAAATCTGCATATTACCCAGGGAAGGACTGGCCTCATTGGCCTGCAACAGCCACCATGACTGACAAGCCCCATCAGAACCACATTGAATGGGAAACACAGGCTTCAGAGGAAATAAGGATACTAGGGAGAAAAACCCATAGATGTACACTGTAGGTGGGGACAAAGATTGAGATACAAACGTACAACATTTGGGAAAATTCTCCTACAACCCAGATTGTTGGACAGAGCTTCCAATGGTGAAATTCTGGAGTCAGGGCTTTTGGGGATGGTGTGAATCACTGGAAAGTTAGACTGAGTCAACTCAATGCAGATTTCCTGGCCTGGCCTCTCTGAGGTATGGTTTCCCTACTCTGCAAAGTAGGAGATGGAACACGATGTCATGGGAGGTATCTCAGCTGTGCTGGGATGTGACCAGTGAAAATGGGTCCAGTACACAGTGTAGTGTGGATTGTCCCTTTGGCAGTGTCCTGATAACACCTCAAGCTTGCATCTAGCACCTCTCACAGTCAATGGGTGCCACACAGCTTTTCAGGGGCTCAGGTTTGGTGTCACTCCTCGTAAGGGTAAACCTGGCAGAAGTGCTAGCTGGGGTTCTCACACCAGAGTAGAGTCCTACAGCCAGGACGGACAAGTGAGGTGGTTACCCTTGGCAGGTGGAAGCAGGATAAATCCATTGCAAATTAGAGTCCTTTGTTGCAAGCAAAACAAGACCACTGTCTGACCTAAGTAAAAGGGGGATTTGTTGGCAGGGTCCTGGGTGCATATTATCTAAGGAATGACAGAGGAATAGGCTTGAAAAATAGGCAGAAGGGACCAGGGTGCTCTGGGGGCTGGGCAGTGGGAATATTCTGGCTGGGATGCTGTCACTCTATTGACCACTGTCACTGTTGGATGCTGCCACAGCCAATGGACATCATGCTGTCTGCACATACTACTGAAAATGTGTTCTCACTGCGTCTTTGTCCCTGTGTCACCTGTTCCAGAGTCAAAGTCCTGAGTAGGAACATCCATTGAGATGTGCCCATATCCCACTTCCAGGAGATTGGAAGAGGACATATCTGGATCCTTGAAGTTCTCCTAGTGGCAGGAAGGCTCATTAGGACTCCCACAATGGGGAGGTCCCTAAACATGGCATGGGTGTTTGATGCAGGACAGCCAAATAAATGACAAATGCCCTGTACCCATGATAAGTGAAGTAGCGAGTGTGAATCCTAGTCAAGGAGGGAATCCAGGGCTGTGTTTCTGAGTGCCCAAACTGGAAACTATTTGAATGCCCAAACTGGAAACTATTTCAGGGGTAGATCAGGAGCAGATCAGACAGCTGAGGTGCAGGAACCAGCCATGAGAGTGTTGGGTGGCAGTTCTTGTAGGGGCTGGCCAGTCGTGTAGAGCTCAGGAGTCAGACAAACAATGAGCTTTGGAGCCAGATAGATCTGGGTATTAATTCTAGCTCCTAAGCGTGTGACCTTGGGTAAGTTACTCCATATTACTCTCATCCCTTATAAAATGAGGAAAATAATACCTGCCTTATGAGGTTGCTGCGAGGTTTAAATGACATACTGTTTGTGAGCCTCCAGCCCATGCTCAGCATGTGGGAGGCTCAGGAGTGTTCTGTCCTCCTCATATGTGCTCTCTCACTGTCCCTTCCTGTCCTTGGCCTGTGATGAGCTCATGGGCTGGATCGGCTGGAAGGACCATCTGGCTCCTTTTGCCCTCCAGCTCCGCCGTGAACTGCATGCTCATAAGCCTCCCATCCAAGTCTCCTTGCTGCGTGTCAGGAGGCGCTAAGGAATATCAGCACAGCCAGGCATGCCCTTTATGCCAAAAGAAGAACAGTGGCCTGGGCTTCCACCGACAGATGGGAGCCATGTTACTGTGCTGAGATGTACCCAGAAGGTTTGCATGAAGGTCAGCTGGCCCACGCCTTTTACCCCCGATGTGGCTTACATATGCCTGAGTGTATGTGTGTGGGGAGGGGGGCTTCCCTTGTTCCTGGAGGTGCCCTTGGACTTCCCTTGGCACATGTGTTGTGTTTTAGTAAAGACAGACCTGATCATCCTTCTATGTGCATCCATCCTGCATTAAAATTACACTCAGTGTGGCTCAGAGGTTGGCTATTTGGCTGTATGCCTTTGACATTTTTATAATATGAGGATTTTGTGCATCCTCACTGCTACCACCCTCCTTCGCACTCCCCCAATTCATGGTTTGGGTCTTGATTATGGCACTTACTGAGGCTGATCCTGGGGCCTGTCAAAAGGAGAGCTCCTTCAGAGCAGGGACCGTATTTGTTCATTTCAGTCTCCCCTGGCCTGTGGTAGGATCACAGAGAATGTTGAATCGACTTGAATTTCAAATTCTGAGCAAAAACAGACTTAAAAGAAAGTCTGCAATACTCAATTATTCCTCCCAAAGCTCATAACTCATGTTTTTATTATTTAAACAAGGCTCTTTTTTTTCTATTGTAAAAGTAAAACTTGCTTATGATTTAAAACATTTAAAAGAACAAGCAAAAAAAGAAGTGAGAAGAGGAGGGGAAGAAAAAGAAAAAAATGTCTAAAATCCCATCTCTTATATACAACCATTGTTAATGTAGATATTCAATTGCTTTCTCAACCTTTTCACCTGCATGTCGAAGAGCTATCTCACATTCAACATCTCCAAAATTGAAGTCCCGACCTTGTCCCTTATACCTGCTCTGCCTGTGTCTTCCCCATCTCAGTGAATGTCAATTGCATCCTTCAGTTGCTCAAGCCCCAATCCTTGGAACCATCCTTTGTTCCTCTCTTTCTCTCACATTTCACATCAGGAAATTCTGTTGGCTCTACTCCCGGCGAACTATGCCCAGGATCTGACCCCTCCTCATCATCTGCACTGCTGCCACCAACATGGTCTAAGATGCCATCATCTCTCACCTGCATAACTACAATCTCACTGGATTACTACACTCTCCCTGTTTCCACCTTCGCCCCCACCCCCAGTTTAGTCCCAATATGTCAGCTGGGGTCGTCTTTTTATAACATAAGGCAGACCTTACCGCTCCTTTGCTCCAAACCCTCCCATTTCATTTGGAGGAAAAGCAGAGCTCTGGCAATGGCCTTTAATGCTGGGTATGGTCTGCACCCCTCTGCCTACCTCTTTAACCTGCTCACTGCTCTGCAGCCACACTGACTTCTCTGCTCTTCCTTGAATACATTGGGCCTGCTCCTGCCTTGGGACATTTGTGTGTGTTGCTCAGTCTCCTTAGAAGTCTTCTCCAGATATCCATTTGGCTAACTTCTCCACCCCTACCTCCTTCATGTCCCTTCTCAGTGAGGTCTACCCTCACCACACTATTTAAAAACTCAAACTCACCTCCTCTGCTTTGATTTTCTTCATAGCACTGATCACAACGTAACACCACACATATTTTATTTGTCTTGTTTGTAACCTATGTCCCCCAACTAGAATGAAAGTTTTTGCCCACTGTGTTATCTTTTGTACCGGGAACAGTGCCTGGCACATAAAATGTGCTCCGTAAATGTTTGTTAAATGAATGAAGAAAACAACAAAACTACTTTGTTATTGCTCTGAATAAGGGGAGTGTGTATTTTCAAGTGACCCCCTTCATGAGTTTCATAAAGTAGGTCGGACAAAAATAATTCAAACATTCATTCTGGCATATTTGCTAAGCACCCACAACAGAAGAGATGTTGTAAGTTGTGTGCTGTGGAGGATTCAAAGATGTCTCTTTCCACAGGGATTAGAGTTAGTAGGGGAGGTTAGACACCTCCAGAAATAACAAACTGAAAAGACTTATTTACATTATATATAGTAAAAACAGAATGTCCTTACTATACAGAAGGCTCTTACAAAGCAATAAAAAGACAAACATTCCGGAAGAAAAATAGACAAATGGCAAGAACAGGCAATTCACAAGAAGAAAGAATACAAATGTCTCCCTCTTCTATCCCCATGAAAAAGAAAGTTGGACTTCACTAGCAAACGACGGTAAATTAATGTAGTGAGATACTACTTATCATGTCTCAAATAGGCAAAGATTTATAAAAATTATAATAGCTGTACTGATGAGGATGTTGGGGGAAAAGGGCATTCTTAAACACTCCCAGTGTGAATGAAATTAGTACAACCTTTCTGGAGGACAATTTGACTATTATCAAATATCAAAACCTTAAAAATGTGCATTCCTTTAAACACAGCAATTTCATTGCTGGTTTATCTTGAGGAAATAATTAAGCATCTGTAGAACTGTTTATAACAGCCAGTAAAAGAAAAAGACAAAACAAAAACAACCGGCCTAAGATACCCCAATGTAGCAGTTTGGTTAAATATAGTGTTATTTTATACAATCTATAGAAGCGTTATTGAAATGTATATGAGGGGTCTTCAAAAAGTTCATGAAAAGATTCATATTACCTTTTAATTCCATTTTTCTATGATTTTTTTGAAGTACTCTGGTATTTATTAAGATGGAAAGAAATTCATGAGATATTATTCCCTCCCTTGTTTTCTTAAAATGGACGATCTTTTTTTTTTAAACTCCAAACTACCCCTCACACTATATCTGGAGCTTTTTTCTCCAAAACCAAACCAAGTCCCGTTCCCACCTACAGGATAACCCCCCCAGTGAGGTGTACAAGGGTCTTGGCGATACGGCCTCAGCCAACTTTCTCAGCTCCAGATCCTACAGCCTCATTTTCTGTATCCTCTGTTCCTTCCACAGGAAACTTCTCACTATCCCCGGTCACACCTGCTTTGATCCAGAGTCTTTGCACATCACAATTCCTCCCCCTGGAGTGTCCTCCTTCCCCCAGTCCCTTTACCTGGAAAAATCCTATTCATTCTTAGAAGCCCAGTTCAGGTGGCACCTCTTCATGACTTATGCAAGTTTTCTAGAGAGGGGCTGATTTCTTAGTTTCTTTACTTCAGTCTCTGTTATAACACAAATGTGCTGTATTATAATTTATTTATTTACAAGTTTTAAATCATATGTGCTTCAGGAGAAGCACCAGGTAATATTCATCTCAGTAGGCACAGAACCTAGCACACAGCCCTACACATGAGGGTACTCAAGTGTTTGCTGAATAACTGAGACAGATAATGGGTCATGTGAGCAGATGGCCCTGAAACATGGTCACTGGGCTCTGAAAGTTAAGAAAATGACATTCAGGGCCGGCCCGTGGCTCACTCGGGAGAGTGCGGTGCTGATAACACCAAGGCCCCCATGGTCACTGGGCTCTGAAAGTTAAGAAAATGACATTCAATGTTGAAGTTAAACAAAACGTAAATTTTATGATACGATTGTTATGAAGCTGCACTATAATTAGGCGTGAGTGGACAGCAGTTTGCATAAATGACAACACCACTGTTACATAAACCTAATCCTTAAATGGTTTTTCTTCTCTTGCTTTGTACTTCTTCATATTGGTGACACCTAATACAGTGGTTAATTTAATCTTACATACATTCATATAAAGACATATACATACAATGCTGATTACTATTATTACTGGAAGCCAAAAAAATTGTAAAATAAGGGACACACGAATTAGAAGCATTTGGGAATTAAAGTGTATAATTGCAATTGCCTGAGAGAAGGAGAAAGAGAGAGAAAGAGAGACAGAAAGTGAATTACTAGAGATGAGCAATATTTAGTGGAAGTAATGTCACCAAACCGGCGAGAACCAGAAGTACCTGGAGAAAATTCTCAAGGTATGTGAGATATTAAAGGTGTGTGTATATGAGATGAAAACGCCACATATTTCATAAAGACAAAGATCGATGTGGACCTAAGCTCTGAGAAGAAAAAACCCAAAGCCATGATGAGGACAACAGGAGGTGGAACTTTTCTGACAGGAGACTTCGTCCGAAGCCTCTGCCACAGCCAGTCCTTCCTTCAACCTCTGAAAGGCGGATTGGCCACCAATTTGTGCAAAGCGGTGAATGGTTTCTAACTCCATAGGTGTGCCCCACATTTAAATGACTGAATATCACATCACTCTTTAGTATCAATAAATGTTTAAATTGGTATATCTTGCCAGTTATGTATTATTTGTCATCCTCACTATTAAGCTTCTTACCTTAGGCCCACGGAGAGTTCCTGGAAGGCTCCTTTGAGAGCAGGGAGGAATGGGCAAGGGAATTTGTGTCTTTGACTAACCATCTCCCCTGATAGCTCTCTTTGCCTCTCCAGTGCCCACTGAGGGTGTCTCAGCTGCCTGCCACCAACAGGAGATGGGAGTCTGCTTAGTATATCATAAACGGAAGACATAGAAATTTTATTTTCAAAATGGGTAAGTTGTCAGAAAAGCAAAAATAAGAGGATGCGGAAAATTGATTTTTCTGTGTCTGTGCCATAATACCCCTTCATTCTTCCCCTATGACCAAAGTATTTGTAGCCCCTAATAGCCACAGAAAACCTTCACCCCAAGGTCATGGCCTATGGGGCTGGCCTGCTTCATCAGCCATGTTAAGAATATAGTTAGCCATATCATCTTCAGTGGGTGCATCTGATACCGCCCAAGATTCATTTGCTCCAGTCATCTGTAGGCGACAAATAGGGCAATTCCTGTGTTGATCACTCCATTTATCAATGCACTTCTCACAAAAGCTGTGAGCACAAGGCAGGATGAGGTCAGCTCGCCCATCCATACAGATACAACACTCTTCCTCATTGGTCAGCTGCTTCACCCTTCCCATCCAAAGACTAGCTTGACAAGATGTTACAGAGGATGAGTTTTCATCAGTTTCTTCAGAGGTAGAGCTCTGTGCCAATATTCCTGCTGCTTGACTTGTGATGTCTTTATATAGCTGAATAAACTGATACAAATTCATGATTCGTGATGCTTCCACAATGCCACTACTTTTGTCAATCTTGGTACAGACCACCCGTACAATCACTTTCCAAAATGCAGAGGAATCAGACCCAGGTTGTACCTCAAAAAGAAGATGTTTTTCCTGGCCAGAAGCCACTTTAGCCGTTCCAAGATCAAGGAATCGCACTCCCGGAAGCAGCGGCACCGCCTCGGCCCGCCGCTAATTCTCGCAGGCGGCGGCTGGGGC